TTATTATTATTTTTTTTATAAAAAAAATTAAAATAAACCATTTGAGTTATAAACGTTAATTAATTAAATTTTACAAAATTTTGTAATTAGTATAAAATTATATGTATATAATTTTGAAATATTGTACGATTAAGAAAGTACGTATACCTAATACGAGACATGTGCCAAATTGCAAATATGTTAGTCGTCCATCTCCATCGGGAATTTATGACGATGCACTTTTGAAATTTGCACGTGCAAAAATATACGGGTTATGGAGATATACATATTTTTCACAGTTTTATTACTAAAACAATTTATGAACGATCACATAGTTAACATGTCATGTGCCAAATATCTCCAAGTGGTGGTTTATTTGTGTTCGATTCCTCCTTTCTTTCTTTTGTTAATTGCTTTTGTTTGTGGCTTGGAGTTTTATAGAAGGGAAGAAAAACCAATTGAAAATATAATCAACCAAGAACTTTATTAGATTTTGAGAAAACAAATTAAAAAATAAATTTATATTATGTTTAGTACATGAAATATATATTTTTTATTTGTATGTTTTAAATTATATTATTTGTACATGTTTTTATTTATAAAATTGTAAAAAAGATTTGTGCTTGTGAAATAATCAATTATATAATAGAAATAGTTTTACAATAAAATTAAAAAATTTCTTCATTGTTATTTAACTTGTATGTCTTTTATAAATAAAATACAAATAAATTTGGAAAATGCTAACTAAAAAAATATTTCTATCTATTAAACATATTTTTAATATTTGATAAATAAAAATTAATCCATTAATTTATTAATTAATTATTAAAAATAAAAAAAATTAACATGCTTCGAACGAAAAAAAATAAAAAAAAAATAATAATAACACTTATGTGAAATTCCTTTTATTGTTTATTGTAATAGACATTAAAAATACAAATCTAACAAGTTACAAGTTTCGCATCTAATAATGTAATTCATATTCAAATAAAGATTTAAGATGTATCGATTATAGACTTCATTGCTAGTTAATACCCTATTTAGCAAGTCAATTAACAACAAAATCACTTCCTTCTAATATATTGCACAAATAAGTGATTTAGTCTAAGAGCTAATAAGCATATTTTGAAAATCAATCAGTTTGGTTTTGCTTTTAGTATAATGTTCATTATATTCACATAATTTATATCACTTGAAATAATTTTTTTCTATATAATCAAAGTCCAAACTTCTTAGTGAGTCAATTTTTTATATCAAACCAATATTTTCTCAAACTTAGTTGCAAAATATTTAAAGAACATTCATATTCATAATAAATGATATATTAAGATAACCATATGCATTCAATTTAAATTGATTTTTTGTGAGTTTTTCTTATTTCAAATAAAAGGACCAAATGTCTTATATACTTATTTGTATTTCACTAAAATTATATATCGTATCGTTTGTATATAAAGTTAAAGAGAAAAAATCAAAAGGTTTTAGAAACACTAGTAAATAAATCAAAATTAATTGAAATTGAGAACAAAGGTATTTCACATACCTTTGAACAAACTTAATTGAAATTGAGAACAAAGGTCTTTCACATACCTTTGAGTTACATAATTTCTAATTTCGTGGCAATTTTATATAAAATATTTCATTTAACAGTTATTGAATAATTGAGTTGAAGTTCGTTTTTAGAGCACAATCTACCAAATATTCTAAGTTCTTGTGAATATAATACTTTTTTTTTTTATTCAATCCCTGAGACATAATGAAATACTTTATCCAGAGCTTCCTCAACCTCCATTTTTTCAACATCAATTAAGGAAAGCTCAATCGAGAGTTGATCCTATGTGTGTATAAGTTTATGTTGTCATAACTAAAGACAAGTTAGGGCAATTGGAATCGAGGTATTCAACTTGTAAGCAAATACGTATTTACATATTTTTAGCAATCATGCTACTAGTTGACACGTTTGGACATAAATCTATATATTTTAATATTTTTTTTTATCATTATAATAAATTTTATACTATTTTTTAATTAAAATAAATATAAATTTATAAATATAACATACTTCTAAATTGTTCCATGCTTAAATTAAATTAATTGGAAATGTTATTATTGTAGGACCATAAATTAAGAAATGGTCAACTGATAAAAAAAACAAAAAGGAACTGAAACATGATAGTTAATTTGATTCAAATTTTATAAACATGAGGCGTGGGATATGCCCCATTTTAGTGAATTTTTCTTTTTAAATCAGAAAATACTTTTGAGAGAGAGAAAGGATATTTTTAATATATCCTAAAAGAAGATATTTTTAATGTTTTAAAATTATTTAAAATATTTTTTTAATATTTGAATTTGACAGGTTAGACAAGGCGGCCCAACCTCTAAATGAAATCCGGAACGATCAAGCTGAACCCGTTCTCGGATTAACTTGGTCCTGGTACGAAGGCCCAAGCAGGCGACGCGTATACATATATATATAGTTAAAATTTTGTAGATATCAAAATAATCGGATGGCGGGAATATTTACTGCCGAATCGTCCCAATTTCGCAGCATGGTTGAGAACTGTCGAAGAAGTTGAAAAGGCAGAAAGATTAATTCATTGAACAAGAGAAGGAAAAAGAAGAAATAAACTGAAGAGAAGATGGAATTGCTCAGACTGTCGAAATTCAGGCTCCAGCTTCGATCACTGGTAGCCGAAGTTCGAGATGTCAGGGTGGGATTTTTTCTCTCTCTTCTCATGATCTCTTTGTCTCCCAATGTTTTTATTATTTCGTGAATATTTTAGGAAAGAGAACGCGCAACTTCGGAGCAGCTTCATCTTCTAATTCAGGTTCTGAGAATTTTACGCTCAGTTTTCGAATTCTCTCTCGTTTTCGTTTTTTTCCTTTCTTATTCTATTGCATTTCGCTGCAGAAACAAAAAGAAGCAGAGGAGGAATATGGTAGGAAATTACGGGAATTAGAATCAGAGTTAGCTTCGTCTTCTGAATTGCGGCAAAAACTCGAAAGGAAGGTTCGTGAACTTCTTTTGCTCTCTGTCTCTTTCCGTGAAGGTTTATTAGATATATAATTTTATTTGCGTGCGTTATGTTAACCTAAGGTGACTTACCTCCAAAACGACAACGAATTGCTGGAAAATAAGCAGAAGGAGTTGAAGGGGACGATCCACGGCCTGCTTCAATCGAGAGATAGTTTCTTAAATGCTTACGAGGTTTGCATTTTTAAACTCTCTCTTGAATATACACAATTTTTTTTTTTTTTTTTTATTTGCATAGAGAGAACGGAAGCCATATAAGAATACATAATTTGACGCTTATACCTTCTATATACGAAGAAGTGGTGCAAGTACTAATAACAGCACTGCTTGTCTACTTCTGGATCTATGTCAAGCTTTTGTTGTGCTACTTGTATCCTGTTGCGAGGACTTCCATCACTTCAAGATATCAGATATATCAGTAATCTTTTGCATTTGCTTATGCAGGAATCTACATGCGAAATGAAACGTTCTATTGACGCCAGAGATAGAAAAATCGCCATCCTGTCTGAGAAGATAAACTCTCATCTATCTCTATTTGACTCAATAGAGAAGGAGGCATTGACTATCAAGCAAGTTGTGGAAAATGTGCATCATCTAGTGGGTGAAAAAGAGCAACTAGGCACGTGACTTTCTTATAAATACTTATTCCTGGAACATGTTCATATTTTGATTTCAAATTGCTCCATTCTCACTTTCACCTAAGTTTCAGTTTAAAGTGCCTTCTTAATGCTGTTTTCTGTTCTCAGTGGCTTGCTTAAAGAGCAGAATGGATCATGTATCTACGTTTGAGATAGTATTTGTAGGTAATTCCTGGCTTTATTTCACATGGTGTTATATTCATTTTCTATTGTTTCTCATTGATGCCGGTTGGTTACGGCAATCCTGCATTTGTCTTTGTTTAACATTTTTGTAAATGGTTGGAATTTGTTTTTCTGGCTTTGGTGGGAAGTTACTGGTATAATACCCTAATTGATTTTTATATATATAAGCAGGATCAGAATATTTAACAAGTTATTTCTCTCTCAAGTTTTACTTGTATTATTCATCTGCTACAGATAGTAAATCAAATATTTATATACAGCAGTCAGCAGCCATGCTTTTGGAATTATATGTGTCCTCAAACTTGTGGTTTTTGACATGCCAGTTAAATGCAAGAAATAGAAGTGCTGCAAATAGGGTAAAGTTCATTACCAGTAAAATTAACTTTCTTTGTGCAGAAAAGATATATGATCTAGAAAATAAACTAAAAAGGGTTGAGGATGAGTTCCGAAGAAGGCATAAAACAGTTGCTGCGCTAGAAGCGCAGCTAGAAGCAGCTAAAGTCAGTAACAACTATCAACTTCAAATAGAAGAGATATCCTTGATGATATTGATGAATGATGATCTAATACTTGCTGTAATCATGGAAGGAAAAACCTGTCTGTTACGGTAGTTATAAACAATTTATGTGTACTTAGTTGAATACATTTTTTGTGACAATGTTGTCTGTCTTAAGTAGCCTTACCTGAAGAAAACCTTATCGGCAAAGGATGCAGTTATACAGAATTTAATTTCTGAGAAAATGGTAGGAAATGGAGATTTTGCTCTTTTATTTAATTTCCTTTTCCACATGTATTGGTTTTCTAAAATAAGTTTCATAATTAGGCTTTGCATTCTGAAGTCAAAAGTTTAGGACTTATCTTACAGAAGATTCAGGAGACTGTTGCAAATATGAAGGAAGAGGTTAGACAAAGATCTGATTTTGACTTTCAATATATTATCCTCCAGGTTTAAAGCTGAGCTTCGTGTTCCTTGGTTCATTTCCTTTATTATTGTGGACAAGTACCCTATGGGTGTATATGATAGGTGATATATTGATAGGAAGACTTGGATTGATAATCCAATGTGAGAAAGCACATTTTGTAATGAATTTGGCATAACTCTAACACTTTGAAAATCTTGTTTTGAAATACTTCTCGGAAATCAAACTATCAAAATGATAGCTTTGTTTTCCCTCATCATTGGATCAAACATCTGGCAATCTTTTTTGTTATCTTCCTAATGTGTGTCTTGGTGGAGTACCCTTGTTCATTTGATGTTTTGTCTTCAGCTCTGTTACAATTTTGGCTCTCATCTGCATGTATGTCTGAGATACTACTGATGTACATGCTAGGATAGAAGGTTATCACCTCAATACTGATATATCAAGGACAAAATGATGCAATCACGACGATCAAAGATAACTGGTATAACGATTGTTTACGTCTTTTCTTTCCGATAACTTTTGGATCATTTGGTATTATGAAGGCTATTGTGATAAACAGCCATCATTCTCGACGTCAATTATCCATATGCATAAGCACATCAGGTGGTCAACAAGTCTGATAATACTAATGCTATTGTTGATTGAATCAAAGCCCTAAACCTAGATTGCATGTGATACCTAATAGGTCCAGAAGGATAACTTTTTTTCTGTGAAATCACTCTTCTGCATGCTCCCCAGAATTGCAGTTGTATTCATCTGGAGTGAGTTTTCTTGTTCCCAGGCTCTCACGTTTCTTTCAATGATAAATTTTTTTTGAAAGAAATGCCAGAACATTGTCCCTGTTGGAAAATACAAATAAATGTATTGTGTCACTATGAAATTTCTCCTTCATGTTAACTGTCACTAGTTTTTGTCCCTGTTACAGTGAACTAACCAAGATTGAAGATCTGGATCAAATTTTGGTAGAAAATTCTCTAAATAAGGCTTCAAACTCGCACATTGAAGAAAGTGCAGGTTCATTCTTCGTCTTATTGTACTCTCATCACTATAGGAGTTAGCACAATAAGAGCAAGTATTTTGGCAGCAGTTACTTCATTATTTTTTACATTTCTATTGTTGTTAATATTGGTAACAAACTTATTCCAAGAAAGAACTGAAAAGTGTTTAGGATTGCTTATTTGGTGTTTATCATGAATATTTGTTATATATTTATTTTGAGTCAAGAAAAATGTATTCATGTAAACCTTATTCCTTTTGCATAGAATACTTGTTGCAAGAATGGTTGCACATACTTCTGTTCAACTATGTTTATTCTCGACTTTTATTTTTGGTTTTTTTGGGTGGGGGAAATGGTGGTTGGTCTGGGATTTTCTAATTCAGATTCATCTCTAAGTGAGGAGTATGGCTCTGCTGACAAGCCCTTGCAAGACAACAACAAAATCAAACCCTTTGTGCTAAAGGCAAGTAAAATTTCACTTGTAGCAAGTAGAAGAAGAAAGATCTTTAGTTGCAGGTACATTGAAAGAAAAATGTTTTTTTTTTCTTAACTGGCAGTTGGCCTGTTCTCCAACACAATCAACTTGCTTCGAACCGCATTCTGCAGTTCAAGTCCTAAGCTCTTCTATATATGATAGGAAGGTATGTGGCGCTATCATATATCAAGGAGTAATCACTCGGAGATATATTAAGGATTTATGGTGGATGCTCATTCTTCCTCTGGAGGAATTTGTATTGAATGATTTGGAGATCACAGACATTATTTCAGAAATGTGTTCAACTGAAGTTTTATGAAATCTTATACTGTTTGAATAACACCTAATGCCTGGTTGATTTCCATATGTAGGACAACTGCACAGTATCAGGGCAGCAACCGAATTCTGAAGGCTCAACAACCCAAGCTGTAGTATCTGAAACTCATGGTGGTAATATAATTATCAGTCTCATTTTAATGTTGGCAATTTCTCATGTAGTAGGTAATCTAAATACTCTTGTGCAATTTCAGGGGCAGAAGTATGACTAGTCATATACTTCCCTTACGCACTATCCTCTCTATTAACCTTCATTAATAGAGTCATTGGTATGTTTATTTGAGCCTTCTATTCGCAGGATTTTATCTTCAGATTATGTGGCCTCTCAATGCATTCATGTGTGTGTATTCAGTTATGCATTTGGACTGGCGAATCCATTTATGACTTGTGACTAAAACAGATCTAGGGCCATTTGTTTAGGCTTCTTTGGGCTTATAAGCCCACATGAAAAAGGATATAAAGGGATTTTCCAATATGTTTCTATTTCTTCATTATCTATATGAAAAAGGATGCCCGAGAGAATTAAGAAATCATCAGTGTTTTAACTTTTTGTTTATCGCTTCATTGCCCCCGAGTTCTTGACCCTTGATCTCGGCTTAGAGCGGTGGATGCTTACCGATCTCTCTCTTCATCTCTCCTTACAAGCCTCTTGTCCACCGTCTCATGGCGATATGTTATTTTCGTTTTTAGGTGATTGCTGTAAAGTAAAAAGTCAATCACATGACATAAACATCGTCGTTAGTCGAACTGCGACGAACCTCAACCAGTCAAAATTTGGTAGGTGGGGACCTAGCGCCTGTTCAAAAATTACATGTTACTATTGTCAACATACTAACTGGAAGCCTCGTGTTTGAACGTTTCGTGGGGAATGCAAAATAATTCCATTGGATTTTGTTGGCACCTAGGAGCCCCAATTCCTGACCGAAAATGATTCATGTTTATGTAGCCATCTTGACTATATTTGGTTTATATTCCCCAAATTGTTGGGAAATGCTTGGTCAATAAATCCCACTTGGTTCATTTAGGTTAAATTTTATTATGATTTGACTAATCAAATCGGTAAGATTGGTAATGTTTTATTATTAACTTTAATAAATATAAATATATAATTTCATAATATGATAACAACTTATTTAAAATTAAGTTTGGGAAAACCAATATGCTTTTTATCCCCGTCGATGACAGGTTTTGAGGCTTTCATGGCTATCTCCAAATTGGACTCTTTACTTCGGCCTAGTTAGTGTACACCTTAGCCTGAACGCTTCGAAACAATAGTGTTTTATAATTAGATGGTCAAACTGGGGATGTCGTAAGTGGGCATGCATCCTATTTTTTGTTCATATGTATTTATTTCTGGTGGGATCTTTTCATCCACGAAACTTCGTTATCTTTCCAAACAAAGAGACACAGTAACCTACACGAGAAGTTAAGTTACGAAATTTTACAACATCGTCTCTTGTTGATGGGTATTTATATATAGTAAATGGTCCTTTCGGATGCGAGTTACATTTGGAGGGAGAGAGGACGGCAGGCTAAAAAACTGATTCTTTTTTAATCAATAGGGACAACAAATTAAGACATGGTTGTAGGTCTCTTTCATTTAAGTATTAGTGTCCTTAGAATATATGAAATTATCTAAAATTATTTCTACTGATAAATTTATTGCATGGCTATGCAAGAAGAGGTTAGCATGATGATATGGTATTTTTGAGATATTGCTTAACTCATTGCTTTAAATCAATTGATTATATTGATGGAATTATTTTAATTTTTTTTAACTTATTAGAAGTCTACTTATCTAAGTTAATACTTCATGTTTTTATAACATTATATTTCTGAGACATCATAGAATTTTATTAGTAAGACATTAGGATACGTGAATTGAGAGTTTCAAATTTATGTTAACAACAAACATCTATAAGGCTACATCTCTTAGTAAATGAATTTGAAAATGTTAATTCTCTAGCTAGCTATAAGAAAAAAGAAGGAATTATATTCACCTTGATCATTTTTTTTGTTTACTTTTAATTATTTTATAATTATGTATATTTTCACTTAATCAATTCAGGATTTTATGTTGATTATTATTTTTCTGGATAAGGATTTTAAGATAAGATTGAGAAATGAAATGTATAGTTTTATTTAATTTATAATCAATTGAATGGTAAATTTATTTAGAAATGATTTCTTTTTTATGTTTGCACAAATAAATATTTTTTAACTAGTTTACAAAGAAAATTGAAGTATTAAAAAACAAAAGTTTTTCAACTTTTAAGCTGATTTTCAGATTTCATATAATCTTTATTTGACATAAATATAAAAATCTAGTTTTAAGTGGCCACTGAAGCTTCCAATCTCACTGGTTTCTCCTTTTTTAATTAGAAAAAATAGAGAAGATATTAAAAAAAAAAAATAAGACGGCAGAAGAAAAGGATCACAGAATACCTGCCCGTGCACCAATCGGTAGACCCACCTACTCATAAATCTTGAGTAGGCATCACTTCAATAATTTGGTAAATGTTGGATGTCGATACTTTTAGAGTACTACATACATACAAACCCACTCACCTCATTTACTACTAACTACTAAATAATTCCGTTCACAAACCAATTTTTGTGATGCGTAGACGAAGAAGAGATCACTAGCTTTTCCAAACCCTACGCAACCTCTGCTTTTTCTTTCTTCTTCTTCTTCTTCTTCTTCTTCTTTTTTTTTTTTTTCCTTTTTTAAGAAGGAAAACAATTCTCTTCGATAAAATCAGAAGCCATCCGCAACGGCATTTAAATACCCAGATCCATACATCTACCGATTAAAGTTTTTTCTGCCTTCCTAAGTTCATTAAATTTCTTTATTTAATTTATTAAATCATAAGAGATTGCGGGTTATAAATATTCTTAATTAATAAATATATAAATTTAATTATTTAAAAAACAACCCATTTGATTAAACAAATGAGTTAATTAATATTTTAATCTAGTACTGACTCGTTTTAGATTAGTTGGTATAATAACCATTATTTCATATCAGATATTCTAAGACCTAAATACATCATGAATTAATTAATAATTTATACCGAATCGTTTTATATATTAGTTAGTTATTTTATCTAAGACCTTAATCATAGTGGGTAATAATTACGTTGGTCCACTAACGCGGATTCCCGTGCCTCCTTCTCCGGTTGATATAATTTGCACGCTTTCGAGAGAAAAGAGGATACAAAATTTAGCTTCGATTTAAGTGAGGTCAAACACTACGACAATTAAATCAGTTCCCAGCTTCTTATAAATATTATTAATATATGTAAAATTAATTTCTGTATAATAAATTTATTCGAAATACAAATAAAAATGTCAGTTGACATCTCCAATATTATACGCTGATACTCTTATTTTAACTTACTACGATGTTTCTTCTTTTTCACTTTCTTATAAATTAGTTTTAAGAGTTACTATCCTACTTAATATTCTAAACACGTTAATTAATTGATAACTATTATTTTATAATATATTTACAGAATGATGAATTTAATATTTTTAATAAAATTTAAATTAAAAACATTAAAATAAAATATAAAAATTTAAATAATTAAATTACCTTATCGTTAGATTTTCCATAGTTAATAAATGGAATAGATTGGGGAAAGCAGTTGATTATTTGGAGCATAAAAAAGTGGGGTAGTGGCAACATTGAAAGTATTTTATCATTGAAATGGGGGGTGGCAGCATTTAAGTCACGGGGGTCCTACCTTACATACCATGCTAGCTGTTACCATCCCATGCTCTTCCCTATCAAATTATTTACTTTTAATTTTTTCTTTCCCCCTCCCACCCCCATGTTTATTATATTTTTTAAGTTTTTTTTTAAATAAAAAATAAAATGAAGTATTATAATAAATATATATTTTTATTTTTAAAATATTACTTTATTTTCAATTAATTTTACCTTTATTCAAACTACTGTAATTCCTCCTTTTTTTTTTTTAGATTCTCGGTATTATTTCTCCTGCCACTTAGTAATTATCACCCATTAATTTGGACATCACATTGTCGCAAAATTGGTCCCATTGCCAATTCATCTATACCTCAAACACATTTTTTATGTATATAATATGTGTGTGTGTGTATTTATGTAAGTACAGGTATCTTTCTTCTTCCGTGATATCTATACATTTGGGAACAACCCCACTATTCTTCTAATTAGTGGGAATTTTATTACTGTCTTTCATGTTAACAAAAGTTGTACATCAGTAACTTTCAATTATTAACTCTCTTCTCATTTTCTTCGCAATATAAAGAAATAAAGGGTAGATTGAACGAGACATTTCAACGTTGATTTTGTTTAAAGTTGAATCATGTAATAAATTATCGTCAAAAAATTGTATTTATGAATTATGGGTAAACGTGTTTAATCATTTATTGATTCAATCTACTCAATATATCATCAATTATTAAAAAGTAATCTTCATATTTATTAAGCTTATGTAAATAATTGGCAGTAAATTTAGTTCCAATTACATGCCACGTTAAGCAAATGAATTTATTTTAATCCCCCTCCAGAAAACACTTGAACTTCGACCATAGTCTGTTACTACTTGAGCTATTTACTGCACCACCGTAAAAGGTAAAAATCGATGGTAAAGAAGGGGGAGTAAATTTAATTGTAGAAAATTACTCTGGGTAGGTGAAAACTTAGATGTGAAGTAAATGTTGCTGGAATTACCGTACCGGTCAAAACAATTCCAAATTTTAATGAAGTTGGTACAAACTCATCTGGGTAAGTCGTGTAGCAACCCAGTTTACGTAAGTCCACTGTTCATATCCTCTTATCATGCATGTGTGTATATATATATATATAAAATTGTACTATCAATGAAAGTTCACGTCACCTATTTTCCCAAACCCAATAATGTTACAGGCAAAGATTTTGCCCACCTCATTCTTCATCTGCTTCAATATTTTTATATGACTGCGAAAAAATCTGAATTATTTTTCCACTATAAATCATTTTGATTTCTATTTTATTTATTAATAAATAAAATTTAAAATACATATTGATTAGAAATAATTAGAAGTAACGTGAAAAAATAATAAGAATACAAAACAAAATAATTACAAGAAAATAATAATTAGTGTGTGAAAGTGAAAAGGACTGTCCCTGCATGTGAGGTGTCAAACGGTAAAACATGATATAATAGTAGTCTGCCTCTGCAACGACGACGTTTTGTACATCACACGCGAATAAAACAACACCGTATAATCTATGTATAGAAAAGCTGGTCCACAAAAACTGATCTATTCCAAAGACTAAATCCACACGCTTGCCGAACCAAATTTGGCCACGTGGTGGTAAATGCTTATAGTTCAGGAGCTGTGGGTCCCACATTCCCCACCCACTTCCTGAAAAATAACAAAAGGCCTTTAAGGCCCAAATACGCAAAGGGAAGGCAATGAAACTGCCGTCACTGGTCTGCGTGTTCTATTTTTCATTATATTTTGGTTTGACTTTCAAACACGATACGCCTATTTTCTCTCCTCCTTCCGCTTCTTTCTTTCAACGCCCCCCAACATATATGGTAGTTGGGTGTTGGGTGTGGTTAACTTTATCTCTCTACGAAAACTCCTCTGTCTATAATCCATATCACCTTTCTCTTTTCTCTCTTTTTTCGTCTGTTTATATTGGGTTGGATATGGTGGTTATCGTTGCTGGCTGGTAAATCTCGACAGAGAACAGCGTTATGGGTGCTTGTGTCTCGACTCCTCAGGGCTGTGTTGGTGGTAAATTGAGCTCCTCTAGGAAGAAGAACCGAAAAAGAAGGAAGGCCCTTAAGAAAAGAGTTTCTTCGCACTTATCTGATCGTAGATCACTCGACCGGGTTGATAGGTCCGCCCAACCTGATCATCACCGCGCTTCCTTCACCAGCCAAACTTTTCAAGGTCCGCGCCCCTTCCCTCTCTCTCTCCCTACCGCTCTATTCTCTTGTTTTTGTGATGAAAACTTGTTTACATTCAATTTACCGTTTACCGTGAAATGTGATCGGTGGTTCATGTCTGTTTGTTGATTTGTCTGGTGGGTGTCGGCTTTTCTGCGTTTCTGTTGGTTTGCATGAGAGGTTTTGGGATTTACTTTTGAGTTTAGATGATCTGAAATTGTTACCTGAGCTAACAGATTAATCTGTTAGCTCGGAATGCAGGCCTGTGATAGGCTACAGAGATAAGTTAAAGTAGCTGTTTTCTTTTCCTAAAAGTGAGTCTATATTGGTAAATGTGATCACAATAACCCCTCTCTCCCTCTCTCTCTCTCTCTCTCTCTCTCTCTCTCTCTCTCTTTAAAGCCAAGTACAGTGGTGTGTCCCGGTGAGTAATTCGTGTTTTGCCTGATCTTTAGGCAAAGTAAGTTTTGTGTGGGGTTCTTTTTTCTGACCAAATTATGACACTGTTAATGAATAGAAGCTCAGTTTTCGGAAAAGTATAGTGGGTATCTGGAAAGAACTTTGGTACCTTTCTTCTTTGATGATCAACAAGTAGTTGAGATGCGTCTGGATCATACCCCATCTTGAAACTATACATAGTCTTTGCTTTGTCCTTGGATGTTCTTTTCCTGGGAAGTGCTTTATCATTTGCCAATTTCATCTACGTTAAATTTTTAATATAATTAGAAAATAGTAGATGAAGTCCTCTTCTGCGGTTTATAGTGATTGACTGGTATCTTCTTCTAATCTATTCCAAATTAACAATTGGGTTTAGATTGCTTTTGCTTAGACTTGAGCACTAAAGAGACTTGCTTTATCATTAATCTGGCTGCGGAACTGTAAGTGATAGTTGACTGTTAGGACCTGGGTTCATTTCTCTGAGCTGCACTGACTCAGCTTTTTGTTGTTTCCAGCTGTTAGAGGGGCCTATTTAATAAAGTGGGACTTCTCTTATAAGTAGTAAATGGTGAAAGGTATGGCAGAAGTGATCATGTTTGTCTAGACCCTTGCTTAACCAAAACAGGAGTAGGGAAGCCCAAATATAATGTACTGTTACCAATGTACATGTGGATGATGCCAATGCCTTGTTTTTATAAGCACTTTCAGTGAGTTGATGCCTAAATTGTTTTGAATGGTGGCAAGAAAAAGTAAATACTGATCAGAGAGCCTTTGGTATATAACTTGAAGAGACAGATCTTCTAAAGGGTATCAAGATCCTTCTTCTGTAATCTTTTGTTGGACATTCATTTGATGTGCTTGTTTTTTACTATGCCGAACACTACTTTGCAGATTAGTTGCTTGATTAAGTCCAGTCCTCTGCACCTTTTTAGATTTTTCAATACATTTATAATTCATTATGTCCTCTACAAAATTACATTTCATATCTTACTTTTTCTCATTCATTATCCCTCTGTGCTTTTTCCTCTTTAGATATCGCTATTTTATTGCCGATAACTTAACAGTGAGCTGGGTTTGAAAACTGATTCTAATTACTTTTTTTCTATTTTAGCATTCTTGGTTATTGTTTCTATCTAATTGACGTATTTAATATATATATACTCAGAGCTGTCATTTCCTTTAAGATCAGTTCAGTTTTTTTCCTATATAAAGTTATGCCTAATTTAAGCACTTTTTCCCTTTAGTTGAAAATTGCATTCTAATACGTACCTCCTTCTGTTACCATGTCACGGCATAAGCAGGAAGCACTGAAGAGGCATGGTATGATTCAGTTGCAATATTTGAGTCTGACTGCGATGAGGACTTTGAAAGCGTACAGGATGGTAGGACATTTTGAGGTGTCTAACATCTAAAGTAGATAAGATTTTTTTCCCCCTTTCTGATTAGCTAGGCATGTTTATCATTGTATTGTATATACACATTTATGTGCAGATGTGTTTTCTTTAAATGACTTTGAAGGTCTATCTGCATCAAGCATGTCATCTGTTCGAGATATTAGTGGTGCGGGGCACACCTCTTTTACTGACCACATGCATAGGCAAGGGGATATATCAGCTGGCAATTCCTCTCACTATTCGGTCAGTGAAGTTGCTAAAAATTCTAATGGTCAGGTTTCAAATTCAGATGATGGTGGTTCCTTATTGAAATCTGACAGCTCAACAAATGAAGCAAAAAAACCTGTCTTCCTTGATGAAATCTCCTCCTCTGTGGATGAAGGCTCTAGCAAGCAGGAAGGGTTGTTGGAAAACTGTGGGATTCTTCCCAACAATTGTTTGCCTTGTCTTGCTCCTATTGCCCCTACAGTTGAAAAGAGAAGATCACTAAGCTCTAGTCCTCCCAGCGCAAGGAAAAAGACTGCCTTAAAATTATCATTTAAATGGAAGGAAGGGCATCCTAGTGCCACTCTATGTGAGTACCTAAGCAAGTCTTTGTCAAGGTTTCCCTTTGACTACTTTAAACTTATTCTACTTCTGTATATTCAGTTTCTTCCAAGATGCTGCTGCAGAGACCAATAGCAGGTTCTCAGGTTCCTTTCTGCCCTGTGGAAAAGAAAATGTTTGATTGTTGGTCAAACATTGAACCAAGTAGTTTTAGAGTTCGAGGACATAATTATTTAAGGTATGACTAGGCAAGGATCCTCATCTACAGCTCTTATGTTTAAGTTCTTAAAAAGATTTTGTAAGATACTGCATCACGTGGGTGGCTATCTTATTGCGATAAATGTTTTTAACTTTCTCTTGGCAATTAATATTTTCCATGACAGGGACAAGAGGAAGGATTTTGCATCAAACTATGCTGCGTACTATCCATTTGGTGTTGATGTATTCTTAACTCCGCGAAAAATAGATCATATAGCTCAGCATGTGGAACTTCCTGCTATTAGCTCTTCTGGGAAGCTTCCACCTATTCTTGTTGTAAACGTTCAGGTATTCCAACAGTTTGCTACTCATGTCTCTTTCTTTTGCATAAATAAGCTTAATATGTCTATTCCCTGGGACTTGCATATTTGTCTTGTACAGAGATTTAGCTCTTTTCAATAGCGTATTTCGAGAATTCTTTAAAATAGTCTTGGTGTTCATCTTTTATCTTTCTGGGATAGGCTGCTTTTATCTTTTTTCATTGGGTGTTTTGTTTGCTTTATCTTCTTCCTTAATCCTTTATGGTTAGTTTTCATTTGGAACCAACAAATGAGGCTTTCTCTATATTTATATCTAATACATATATTCCGGGAAATTTCTTGAGCTTGAACTGATTATATTGTATCTACATATATAGAAGTATGTACATACGCATGCAATTACATTCGTTTGTTTCTTTCCTTATGTTTGAACTGACCATTTTCTTTCCTCACATTACAGATTCCATTATATCCTGCCGCAATTTTTCAGGGTGAAGCTGATGGAGAAGGAATGAGTTTTGTTTTGTACTTTAAGCTTTCGGATAGTTACTCTAAGGAACTCCCACCCCCATTTTCAAGAAAGTATCAGAGTAAGATGTTGCCTTTTTAAGATTATGTTCCAAACATGTTGCTTCATTTGTCTAGTGTTTGAGGTATCCGTATGATCATAAAACAAGAACCCAAACCTTCATTGGGGATAATTATTCTTGATCATGATTCCTCTAAAAAAGTTAGTCTTTTCTTGATTATGATATCTTGAGCTTACTTGACAAATTTCCCAACTGGTCCTTGTTGGAGTTCTTTACTCCTGTTTAATGTATGTTCAGAATTTTAATTTCTTCTTCATGTATACATTTTTTAGAGTGATTTCTTATTGATTTGCATCCATATTCCCTTTCAAAACAGAGATTAATCGATGATGAAGTTGAAAAGGTCAAAGGTTTTCCTGTAGATACTATCGCCCCATTTCGTGAAAGACTGAAAATACTAGGTCGCGTTGCAAATGTAGATGATCTTCATTTAAGTGCTGCAGAGAGAAAACTTATGCAGGCTTATAATGAAAAGCCTGTACTTTCGCGTCCACAACATGAATTTTACTCTGTAAGCTTGCCACTGATTGATTGATTTATGATTTATGTGAATATATGGAAAAAAATAGTTTAGCATTACTTCCTTTTACATGTGCAAATGCAATTCTGCTTAATCTGTTTCTTTCTTTCTTCTATCCTTAGTGCTTCTTTTCTTTGGTTACAAACTTATTGGATCATTCTTTCGTTACAATCCTTAGTGTTTTCCTTATTGCATCTTCTTGTTAGGTTTCATTAACCTTCTTTATTAGGATAATCTGTGCTAAAATGTACACAGCTCATTTTTCTTGAACCAACATGTTTCCTGAACCATGTCATTAAACTAACACCAGGGAGTCAATTGGCATTGTCTTTCAGTGATAGAATGAAAAAGAAAAAATCAGTAAATCAAGGGTATATTGATTCACCATTATTCTTCTTTGGCTAACTATCATCAATTTTTGTAGGCTGAAGATTACTTTGAGATTGATATAGATATGCACAGATTTAGTTACATCTCTAGAAAAGGATTTGAAGCATTCCTAGATAGGCTAAAGCTCTGCGTCTTGGATGTTGGCCTAACAATTCAGGTAACTTTTCCCCCTGTACATGGAGTGAAGAAAAAAAGGCGTTTCTCTATTACTTTTGTTACTTTGTTTTTATTCTGGTGACTCTTCAAAGCTCAGAAGCATTTATTATGGAATATTGGATTCTTAAACAGGGAAACAAAAGTGAGGAGCTTCCAGAGCAGATATTATGTTGTATACGGTTGAATGGTATTGACTACATGCATTACAATCAACTTGCAATAAGTCAAGAGTCCCTTTGACTTAATAAGTGCTCAAAGAATGTAAGAACCACAGTTAATATTTTTAATAAATGGCTAACTTCAATACCTTTTCTTTGTGCGTTTCTTGATGTTCTAGAATGCCTCACCTTATTTACCAGAGGCAGCAAATCAAGATTTGGAAACCTGTTCAGCTTATCTGGGCCCACCCATATAACATTTTCAAGGATTATAGTCTAATCATTTATTCATGAGTTGGTGATAAATTTAGCCTGGAAATGGGCAAGGAAGAAGCAAAAGCCTGTCTTCCAAGATCCTTTTGTTTTTTTTGTTGCTGCTATGTTTATCATTTTGTAGGCTGCGTTTAGAGTTTCAAAGTCATGTAAACAACAAAGATTTTCTTCAGAAGTGAAATGGAATGTTAGCAAAGAAATAGATGAGATCATTTTTGGATGCTGTTCTTGCATATCGTGGTCTATGTTCCACTGATAAACTTGACGAGTTACTTGCCTCCCCGATATGTGCTCTTGTCATCATCATATTAAAGGATTTATCATCGTAAGTTTATGCGGAATCTATTAATGATACTTTTAGTTAGAAAAAAATATTTTGTGATTTTTGGTTGAAAATTGTGTTTCCAGAATCAATTTACAACTGTGAATAACAACATATTCCTCTTATGGTAATGTTGAATCCACAAGTATATGCGAACTGAATCTCAAGCCCTACAGGCATACAGGGATTTTTCAACATATAAACTTAAAGCTTACAGGGAGCGAGAGGCTTCCCACATAAACCTTTGTTTCTAGCAAAGGAGCTCTCAGGAAAGTCACTGAGAGGTTTACCAACGGGAATTTGCCCCTCCAAAAGATTATCTGATAAATCTAGCTCCTTAAGCTTTCTCAGATTCAAAAAACCAGTTGGTATTTTTCCTGCGAACTGATTTCTCTGGAGCTTCAGTGTCTCTAACAAGCTTGCATTTGCTAGTGCCTCAGGCAAGCTCAATCCTAGCCTATTGTGGCTTAAATCCAAACTTAGCATCTCTTTGAGTTCTCCTATTGAATCTGGTAATCTGCCATTGAGAAAGTTATGTGACAAATTGAGATACTGAATCTTTTGCTGTCCTTCAAGACTGATTTGCTCGATTCCATTGGAGAAACTGTTATCTGAAAGATCAGTATATGTCAATGAACCATCACCAAACCTGTTTCCTATCTCAAAGACCTTCTTGATGGTGCCTGTCAGCTTGTTCGAGTGAAGATCCAGCACTCCTAAGTTGTCCAGGCCTGTTATTGAATCTGGGATTTTTGAGACCAAAGAGTTTGTTGAGAGGTTTAACAAATATAGCTGAGAGAGCGTTCCAAGCCATTCTGGCAGGCCTCCAGTTAGATGATTAGATGACAAGTCCAGTTCCTGTATGAGGCTTGGAGTAGTGGCCAAGAAATCTGGAATATGCCCTTTGATTCCACAGCCTGCTAAGTAAAGTTTGGAGAGAGATGGCAATCTAGCTAGCCATACCGGTATTGAGGAGAAGTTTAATAGGTTAAATGACAGATCCAGTGATTGAAGGTTTTGGAGGGAAGACAGCTGATCAGGCAGTGTTTCTTCGATCAAATTATGTGAAATGTTTAGGAGAATAAGTTGGGAAAGTTGAGCTAGTGATCTTGGTAAACGACCAGACAACTGATTGTCATTAAGATACAACTCTGTCAAAGATTTTAGGCTGCCTAAACCAGAAGGAATAGCTCCTTTAAGCTTGTTGTTTGCTAAGGAAACTCTCTGCAGAGAGCACAGATATCTGAAATTTGGTGGTATTCTACCGACTAGCTGGTTGTTCTGGAGCCTGAGAAAACCAAGAGAAGGCATCTGACCGGAACTAGAAGGAAATGGTATCACTCCTGTGAGATTATTCGTGTCCAGATACATGATTGAGATGGCTGTAAGATTGGCTACTGAGAGTGGAATTTTCCCACTTAACAGATTGTTTGAAAGATCGAGCTCTTGCAGAACCTGCAATTCTCCAATTTTTTGTGGTATTTGACCAGTTAGAAAGTTGTCATGAATATCCATACGTACCAGATTCCTTGAGTTTTTAAATGATTTTGGTATTGAGCCAGAAAATCTATTTGAATAGAGAAGTAGAGTATTAAGACTTTCCAGATTACCAAGGCTAGATGGGAGAGATCCTGATAGTCTGTTCTCTTGCAGGTGAAGTTCTTGGAGTCTCACCAACTTACCAATGCTTTTTGGGACTGAACCACTGAGCCTGTTGCCATAAAGATAGAGTTTTTGAAGCTTTGGAAGTCGAAAACCAATCAATGGAGGGATTCTGCCTCTGAGACCAATGAGGCCACCGAGATCAAGCACTTCAAGTGAGGCAAGAAGTGTTATTGAAGGCGATAACCATCCTTCCATTTGAGATTGGTAAACAGAATCATTGTCGGAAATAAATCCTGGGAGACGGATTTCTGTCACTCTCCCTGTAGTATTATCGCACGAAATACCTTCCCATTTGCAGCAGCTTTTGTTCAAATCCCATTTTCCCAGCCTACCAGAAGTGTCAATCCAAATCCCGGCCTTGAAGCTTGTTAAACCTTTCAGGTCATCTGTATTGCAAAGTCTATCTATACCGCTTCTTACCTGTCCTGCTATCACTGCTGTGAATAGAACCGGAAGAAGCAAGAACAGTTGACAACACATGTTGTTTTCACAGATTGTCTGATGGTGTTCAATGAGAAAAATTGGCAGAGAGGTAGTTAGCTGCAGGAAGGTGAGAGGGACTTGTGGCATGAAAACCGGGGGATGAATGGAAGTTAATTATGTCAAAGATATTCATTTAGCTTTTTCTTTTTTGTTTCCTCTTTTTCTTTACAGTTTGTAGTGCTGAAAAGTTTTAAATCTGTCTGAATCATTATGTCTTTGGTTACTGTTTAAAGGGGTCAATGGAGATTATTTAATAATAACAATAATTAATAAAGCTGCAAATTGTATATAATTCTGTAAAATGGCAGAACCCAATAGTTTCAAAATGATTAAACAAAAAAAAAAAAATCCCTTCTGGTCTCCTCTTTTCTTAAAATGTTCAAAAGATCCAGAACGCAACTTTTTTTTTCTGAAGAAGCAGCAAGGGTTTTAATTGCATTGCATCTTTGTTTATGTTAACCGAGGACTGAGACTGACTTCTGTCAGCGTATTGGAATATTCAAAAGAGAAATATAAATGGTCATATTATAATTAATATTAGTTTGAGTTTTTCCAAACAGCCTTCTTGAACTTCCCTAATTATATGTTCAAGACTCATTCTCACTAAGATCTTGGTTACTTCTGTTTTGTTTTTTTTTTTTCCTTTTCCATAACAAAGAAATAGAAGAAAGATGACAAAAGAGAAACATGTACATGTTCCAACATTTTTTTTTGCCTGAATTCACATAATATAATGTTTTTAATTTGAACTTTATGCTAACAACATGAAATCACTTAAATTAGCGAGTGGAACATGCTAAAATTAAACTGAAAATTTCAAATTTGCAAGAAACTTTTAATTTTAGATTCATAAGCATCTGCTATTTGCAAGAAACTTTTCCCATAAGATTTACAAATGTTTGAAGCCCATAATCGTCTTGGTCATCTAGTTGTAAAGAGTACAAGTTCTTTAGTTCTCAGTTTCATTGATCAGCTTTAGCCCTCAATTTCATTGAGCTTCAGGGCACTGCACATGCAAGAAATCCCAGTCAGTCTCCCTTCCAGCACACAAAAGACAATGTTCTTTAAAAAGAAAACAAAAAAGCTGAAAACCAGTTGATTTGCCTAAAGAAAGCAATATTTAGACTGTACCAGTAGCCGCTGGAGTCCTTTATGTGTTTGTAGAGACAAAATCCAGAACTCTAGTTACTGCCATAAGATTTTGCTGAAGAAACAGATCTTGCAGATGTAGATGCAGTTGGACTTGTAGCATCTCGCTCTATTCCAAAATTGGCTTTCCCGGTTAACATCTTTATCGCAATCTGAGCAACTTCAACGAACCAATCATCCTCTGGCAGTACACTGCTAAAACAAAGTTACTTAGCTAGAGTTATCAATGGCATATTTCTTGACAATAAAAGAAGGAATAAATGGGTTCAACAAAAATTGAACAGTCACTTTTGAAGGTGCTTGGTATATAAACATGCTCTCTAGTTTGGGAATTCATTCTGATTAAGTTTTGGTTTCTCTTCTGCTGGGTAATGTGTGAGAATTTATACCTTAATGAATGAAAGATACTTAGCAACCATCACATAAAGCAATCGCACCTTTTTACGATTAAGGACCAGTCCATTTTACGCTTCTTACACCAATACTTCTTACTGTTCTCACACAACAAACCTTGTCTTTATTATCAGGTCCAGGGCTACACTGATAATCCCTACCAATAACCTTCTTACTTTTACTTCACATTATAATAAAAACTAATTTTTTAACTTAAAAGTATCCAGGAGAAATAAAACAACTCTAGCATTACCTGTATGGATCTAGTCCAGTAGCAGCAACTGCATCAATGGCCCTAGCTATAATGTCTTTGATAACTTGATGCAGATGACGAGATAAATACCGGCCTTGGGATGAGAAGATCATCACAAACTCCATGTCCAAATAAAACTGAAAATCAAATTATTACAAAAAAAAAATTTAATTCATCAATGATGATACTTTCCAGTAAACAAGATTTTTCTCTTCTTTTTCTTCCTCTTGATTTAAATTATACCTGTTGCAGACCAAGGGAACCAAGAGGTCTTGTTCCTGCTTCGATCTCTTCCCAAAAACTTTGATCATCAGAGATCCACAGAATCACAGTCTCTGTGAGTCGCATTAACAGAATAGTAGCAAATCTTTCCCTACCCACAAACATATCAGTCACAATGCCTGCCATCCGTGTCAAGTTGGTAAAAAGTTCCTGAGGAAAGATGGAGTTGATGACACGTTATAAAAACACAAATATGCTACGCAGAGTATGGGGCAGATGATGGAAAATGTTCTTGCTCCTTCATGTTGAAGGAATTAAATTATGAAACAATAATTATTCATGAGAATTACTTCATGATCCTTTCATGTTGCAGTTTTGAGCAGCATGCTGACGATATTCAAAGAACTGATAAACTTCCTCATGGTATAATTTATGGACATTCTATATTTCAAAAAAAGAAAAAGAAAATTTCATAGACATTCTGTTGTCTATGTATGCCACTGGCATCAACTTGATAAACGTAACAAACATTTAATATTTGTATACCAAGTCATCAACTGCAATGTAAGCTATTACCTGAAAAATTGGAGAGGGAAACCATTCTGGTTCTTCAGTTGTCTCATCCATGGAAATGTAAATGTCTGCACTTAGACGAATGTCCCCTTCTTCTGTAAAGATGAGATCCAAAGCATGCTGCCTACAAAAGGTATCTCGCAGGCGATCCACTGAGCGCTGAAGCCTCTTCTTCCATTCTCTTTGTTCAGTTAGATGGCTGTGTCTATCCGAACCTCCTCTGAGGGACTCATCAGACCTACTAGACTGATTGGCGTTGAAAAGCTTCAGTGCGGCTCGAGGGAGGAACTCATCTGCTAATAACAATGAATTAGACAGCAAAGCTACTTGTTGTGCTTCAGTTTCTGCCATCTTAACAATTTTATGTCCAGAGCCTTCTAAGCTCTCTTCATTCTCCACTGATCCTGGCAATGCATTTATCAACAGATTGACATACGAGTTGAATACTTGCAAAACACCTTCTAATGCCACTCCACCCAACTGAAGGCTCTCATCAAGGGGCCCTATGTCCTCTAAAAACTCCTGAACTCAGAAGTAATCCTAATGGGAAGTTAGATATTTCCTAACATACAACCAAATAAGAAACCAATTGGATTCTAAGGAGCATGAATGGTTATTTTTCATATTACTCAATGATCAATGTTGCCTAGCACCAGATGAAACATGTGACCAGCCTTTTAGCTTTGAATATACCATACAGAAACTATCAACTACTATGTTGATTTTAATGCCTATTCAAGAAAGAAATAGTAGCCATGTAAAGATGCACATGCTTGTTAATGATATTAAAAAGTATATCACACAGAGGGAAACAAAATTAAATTACCTGAACCATTAAACTGAACCTGTTGGCACTGATAGAAAGCTTCGGCAGTGACGTAATCATAGAAGATGAATGACGTGAACTGGTTGGCGAATAAGCGAGCGACCAGTCATCTGTGACTGCTAGAGCAGAGCAGCTTTGTTCAATTCTTCTCAAGTTGGCATTCACCGCCTGTTCGATATAAGGCCTAAAGAGTCTCAGCAAAACAGGAGAAAGGGCCAAGCCACGAGCTTCCAGCAAAGAACAATGGCCCATGCATATCTGCAGACATTCACTCGTATCTCGTAGAACACCTGATGCTGCTGATGAGGCTAAAGTGTTCCTCTTCACAATAAGAGCAAATGTCTCGCACTGTTTCACAGCCCAAGACACAAGCTCAGATGAAAAAGCAGGCTCCTCACCAAACACTGCCAAGGAATCACTAGCTGCTTGCGCAATGGTTGAGAAAACAAGCTGAGAAAGAGCAGCCGTAAATACTCCTCCATACGAGGTATATGAAGAGCGAAGGCTTTGCATATTGCGTTGCAGTTTCTGCTGGTGAGAATTAAGTAGCAGGGAATGGGCACGGGGACCGTCCCCAAGGGCTTTCAAGGCTAAAACAGTCGAACGGAGCTCAACAGCATGTGTAGACGGTTGGCAAATGGTCTCTGCAAGTTGATCAGCTAGCTTCTGTCTCTGTTCTGTGATAGCAGTCTGTAGTGAAAGAAGTGCGCTTGGACTCAAAGTGTGTCTCCCATTTGCCTCATCTGCTATATTCTGTCCTTCATCTAATGCAGCCATGGCTTCATTCACTCTCTTTTCAGCCATCAAAACTTCCAGGTTGTCCAAAAACTCTGCAAGCCAATTCTCAATCTTGGAAAGTTCTCCATTTTCAGCGTCAGATGTGTCCTCTTTCGTAGCATCTTCAGCAGCAGCACACAAGGAAGTGATGAGAGCACCATCAACCAAACCATGAACAAGAGCTGCTTGAGCAGACAAGAGATTCCTCATGGAAAGTATCTGCCCCTCTAGATCCGAAATCTCTTTGGATGTGCTGCAACATGAAAATCACTATGATCACAATGATAGCAGATAGATACGCTTATAATAAGTGATAAATCACCATGATCCTGCCGTGGTAATTAACTCTTTGGAACTACTAAATCTATTATTTGAAATTTTATAAAATACTTGTATGAGCTCCTAACGATCACCAGTTCTCATTCCTAAATGCAAACGGACATGTGTTTGTGTGTGTTTTGACATATATATGCTCACCGAATGAAGGCTCCATAATTAGCATAAACACTTCTACGCATCTCCTCTGCAGATGCCTTCTTTAATTCGACAAGGTAAGAGCACAAATGCCTTATCTCCTGTCAACAATGCAGAGCATGCATGATCAGTGATTACGCTCTTATACATCCTGCGTCTGCTATGCCATGACCAAAACCCAGCAGTTACATTTGGGTGACCTATTAATCCAGAAATCAGAAATTAACAGGTTTAAACTCCTACAAATTGAAGAAGCTTTCGATTTATGCGAAACAAATACCTACATAAGAAAGCACTTTTCTCTTATGTGTCTGTGTGCCATTTGAGGGAGAGAGGGAGAGAGAGAGAGAGAGACCGAGAGAGAGAGACCTTCTCATTCATATGCTGGCATTTGGAGGTGAGATAGGCATCAGGATCGAAGTTGGAACTTTTGAAAGCTTTCAAGCGATCGTTGAGAGTGAGATTGCTTCAGCTCTGCCGAGTTCCCAATACTCGACGACATTGAGATTCTGATCTAGCTTCCATCTTTTTAGCAAAGCACTGTTACAAAGTGTTCTTTCCCCGAAGAAGATATAAATATGAAAATCCAGAGTTAGCAACAGAAAACCTCCAACCAAAAGAATTCGAAACCAATAAAAAATAGCCCAACAAGAGAAGAAGAAGAAGAAGAAGAAGAAGGAGAAGGAGAAGGGAGGAAGAGACAAAATGGAAAAAAAAATGGAGGGGGGTTGAATTGGGAGAGAAAGGCGGCAAAATTGGCTCTGGTGAGCCATTGACAACACATACGCCTCGCTTGGTTCGTTGCCAATATGTACGGGTCATGATATGTTGCGCGCTAAGCTGACGTGGCAAAACCACCTCGATATATTACTAATTTCAATAATTAAATATTGTTTATATTTCTAAATATACTATTTGGCATATATTTTTATTAAAAGCAAGTAATACTTAATTATTAAAATATATAGTTTTCATAAATTTTTATTAAAAATGTTGATTGTTAAAACTAAATTAAGCAATTGTTATTTAGTTTTAAGAGAAATGTCAAAAGAGCAATTAAATAAATTGAGTATATAAGGAAATTAGAATATGAAAAAGTTATTATCACTTTTTAAAATGTTAATAAGCATCATCATATCAAATTTAGACCCTCAAAGAGAAATTTCTAATAACTGATTTCATATCAAAATTTCGTATACTCAACTTTTATAATTATTTTTTACTAAATCCTATTAAGTGTGAACTTTAAATAAGATTAAACAAATTTCTTAATTAAGCTTTGTTTCTGCAGCAGGAGTTAGATTATGAAAAATAATTCATGGTAAAAGAGCTTTTACTGTAATTAAAGCACAATACAGATGACCGTAAATCGAAGCAGAATAACTCAAACTTTCTAAATTAGCAGCCCATAACTTTATTGCCCATTTTAGACTTGTCAACCACCGTGCCGTCGTTGCCGGCGAGCGCCCTGTACTTATCTTTCCTAGTGAAGCTGGTGCACTCATACGAAAGAGTTGCAGCGATCGTCCTCTGTATATAATTGGCCACCTCGTGGCTAGACTTGCCGGAACTGCACGTCAATTCGACCGGCAACTTGTTCAAGAAGGTGACTTCATAGGCCGGACTTGGGTTCATGAAGAAGTAAAACGGGTCCATCCCTTTCCATCCTCTCGCCGTGGTTCCATGAAACATGGTCATGCGGTTTACCATAGCCACCGGCACGAGCTGGTCTGTTAACTCAGCGAACAATGCGGAAAACCTAAGAAGAAAGGGTTCACGGCAAGTGGTGCCTTCTGGGCATATGGCTAGATCGCCTTCTTCGAGCAGTTTCTTGATCATGGACGCGTCCTTGGCTCGGTCTCGACTCAGCCGCACGGTCTTGATGGGAGAGATGATTTCGGAGAGTCGAGAGACGGAGTAGGTGACTGCAGGGATAGGGCGGCCGAGGGCTGTGGAGAGGAAGATTGGGTCGAGTAGGGTTCTGTGGGAGCAAATGAAAAGAACCCCAGATTGACCGGTGGATTTTTTGGCCGGAGGAGGAGGATTTCCCTTGACGGTGACACGAACGCCGAGTGCCCGGAAGGCGTAATAGACTAAGGGCATGGGGAGGAGAGCACCGGCGGCAATGCGCAAGCAAGCTAACGGAAAGCCAATGGGGATCCAGAGAATGGTGAGGAGAGCCATGATGGGCGTTGGTTTTTGCACGAGACGGCCGTCGTGGAAAATTACTGGCTTTGGGAGCTTGTCAATTGTCACTGCCTTCATCTCTGGCTTCCTTGGCACAATGTAACTCTCCTGCAATAATTTTGTTATTTATTAGTGTGGAAATTTTATAATAATTAATTATTAAAATATGGGAAATTTTAAGGGAAAAAATTTAGTGATGGGTGGATGGAGACCTTGCAATTTGCCATGAAAGGAAGATCAGTACGCCTATCTCCAAGCCCAATATCAGGCTTCGTTTTTCCAAAAGCTTCTGTAAGAGCTTCCGCTTTGTTCTTCCCCACCAGTACGCCACGCCCGCCAACAAACCCTGTTGCTCTTCCCTTAAACGTCCCAATCTCAGTCCCCAACACCATATCAGCTCCCAAGAAATCTCTCAAGAACGGCTCCACCATCACTCCTGGATTGGCCGTCAGCACGCACCGTTTCCCGCAAGAAGAAAACACCCGCCATGTCTCCGGGTGAAGATCGGCCGAGTAAAACTTGGGCAGCACTGCTCGAGCCACCGACTTGATGTCACTCACCTTCATGCCAACGAAAGTTGCAAAGATGAGAACTTGGATGCCGGCAGACTCCGAGATGAAGTAGTAGATAAGGCCGGCAAATGGGGAGACCAAGAGCAGGAAGAAGAGCCTCAAGACGCCACCAACTTCAAAAGCCACGAGCGCAAAGTAAGGGAAAGAGCTGCGGCCTCTAAGCAAGGTCCCATCCATGTCGGCAACCACTGTGTCCTTTTCTCTCCCTATCGACGCACAGTTTTCTACAGTAGGAAAGGTGTTGATAGCCATGGCAGGCTGATGGTCAACAAAAACGAAGAAGAAGAAGAAGAAGAAGAAAAGATAGATATATATATATTGTATATGGTGTCGATATGGTTTGATGCAGGGTATATATAGAAATGATAGTTGATAAAGAGATGAAGAGTTTGGTTTATGATGGCTGTGAGAACAATGACAGATTGGCTGGCGCCGGAATTTCCAAAATTGAAATTGACAGAAACTGAAAGTTTGATTATGAAATAACCGAGGGTTTGCCATTCTTGTTTTTCTGCTGAGAAACAAATTAAATTTGGAATACGTAACTAGTTTATTGCCTTCGTTTGCATCGCCATCTTTTGTTTGCTCTCAATTTATATAAAAAACTACTTTCCCGTGTCTCTTTCGTAGCTTACGTGCGCATGCATGACCATTCTATTATAGTGTTATATTGAAAAGTAAAATCTACTTAACTTCCCAACATTAAGGCTCTCATAGCCTGTATACGTACGTACACATTATACATTGTACTAACGCGGAGTATACTATAACCTCCCATTCTCGAGATTTAAATACAACAACATCGCATATTTATGAAAAACTCTCATAAATATATGAGCTTCATTAATCATACTAACTTTAACCAAAATTTCCTATATGTATGAATTTTACGTTTTATAATTAGTTGTTATCATGTAAGGAAAAATAATACATCTAATTTGACAAATAATTTTTTCTAATTCTCAATTCACACTTTTCTACAAAATTTCCAATAAAATTTTAATTTAAATATATATATTTATCTCATATATATTTTTATATTCAAAATTTAACAAAATACATATTTTATATACAAAAAAAAAAAATTAATTCCTGAAATAAACTAAAACCATACTTAACCTCCATGATATAAGTTAACATGATATTTTATCATCATTAGCATGATCTCTGAACCGACTCTTATAACATAAACACGTTAGCATAGTCAATGTTTAACCTTTTCCTTCTCATTCTTTGATAGAATTATAATGTGTAATATTTAACCCATTTGACATGATTATAATATCATAAAATAATATCAGGAGAATATAATTAATTATTATGAGTTTGTATCACTTGTTCAAAATAATTTGAAATCTCTATACTAATTTCTGTATGGCATAAAAACACAATAATATTACCATCTTACATTTTTCAAACTTACATAAAAAAATAATAATTCTCAAAATTATAGTTAGTTAAACTCCCAAAATAATTACATTTTAGGAAGTACATTAATTCATAATTTTATTTCTTGAAATGAAATCTAATAAATTAAAAATATACATATATTACATGAAAAGAGTTTTAAGTTCTCAAATTTACATTATTTGTATGTACAATAATAGGATTTTGAACTTATAAATTATAATATATATATCTATATATTATTTAAAGCTTAAAACACTAATACAGAGTATAAATTACTCACGTCACTAGCAATTCAAACTCAATTAAAAGAAACACTCTAACTAAATTAAACTATCACCTAAAATCACATAGATCGTTTTATTTATCAAAACAAGTCTAAATTCATACTGATTGATGTTGTACAACTAACATCCTATGTCGGATTCTTGAAGGGTTATCAGCTCAATTCTTATGGGTGTGTCAAAATTTTTTTTAAAATAATATTTTTAAATTTAACTTAACCAAATAAAAAAATAAATTTTATAACAAAATGTATATCATAGTGTCACCTCCATTTGAAATATTAAGAGCATGTTAGAAAATAATTTATGTAATTTTTTGAAGATTTTAAAACCTTAAAAATTAAACACGTTCTCTACAACAATAAAGTTATGTAATCTTAATATTTTTTTAAAAAAATGTATTATTTCGATAAAATAATAAAAAAATAGATAAAAAAAATATAGCATAATTTTTTAAAATTATTTTAAAATTTTAATTTTTAATTCATTTAGAAAGATCGAGAATAAATCACACTCCCTGATAATAAAATTTATTTTTAAATTCAAAAAATTTTCCAAATTAAAATGATCAAACCCCTAAACTTCAACATGGTGATATTTCTCGATCCTAAATGAACCAGGACATGATTTTATTGCTATTATAAAACTTGCTTGAAGGGTTATCAGATCTATTAAAGAATCACCCAAAGCGTGGCTAGAAACATACTTTTATGCACCAACAAGTTGACCAAAAATTATATAAGAACCTGCCACCTAGTATTTTTAAACTCTAATTTTATCTCACCACGCAATTAATTTGGGTGCGATGCCAGGTATAGGAACCTTCATTAAGAACTTTTAGACAGTATACTTGTTATATAATGTAATAGATATGTAAGGGAGTGGGATGGACGGTTGGGATGGGATGGGTATAATCAATGGTTAGGATGGGATGTTGGGTGGGATATAAAAAGTGTGTAGGGCAGAGAGAAGAAAGAAAAGAGGGAAAGAAGGGAAAAAAGGAAAACAGAGAGTGTAGGAGAGAGAGAGGGAGACGATTGCGAGAGGCGAGTGATCGAAGGTGCAATTGATCGGAAGTTTCTGGAAGAGGTGAGGTCGCGGTAGATTTGGTGAGATAGAGGAGTATGGAAGCAAGAGGTAAGAAGAATTTAGAGTTCAAAACTGTATTGTGGCAATGTATCTTGAATTTATGTATTGCAGGTTAACCAATGGTTACAGATGTAGGGAATACGGATTAAGGAAATGATTTGAGGTGGAGTTGTGTTCGAAAATAGTAAACGGAGGAAGAAGGTGATACATTCGTTGAACCGTAGGGGAAAGGGGGGTTCTAGCAGGCCGATACTTAGGGATTTTGGTGAGCACATAAGGGGGAGGATTAGAGAAGGTTAGAGTTAAAGTCTGCTAGGCTAAGTGGGGAGAGAAGACTGGCTAGGAACGAACAGAACTGAGCAAACCGAAAGGTGAAGGAGACGGACAAGAACGGACAAGAAGGCACTTACTTGTTCAGGTGTGTGTGTTTGGGAGGCCTTTGGCTGATACTTAGGGACTTTGGTGTGCCGATATGGTGAGACGGCACGTCTATGTGTATGTGTTATGTGGCCACTTTGTGGTTGGTGTGTGCCTGGGCGTTTACTGATGCGCAAGGTGCCGATAGGGTGAAACGGCACGTTTGCATGTGTGGCCACTCAGTGGTCGGGATGTGGTTGGAATAAAACAGGTGATGGTGCATGGAGGTGCCAGTAGAGTGAAGAGGCTCGGCTATGTGAGTGTGGCCCTTAAGGGGTCGATATGTGTTTGGGTGAGGGCGTTTACTGTTGTGGTGAGACAGTGGATGTGGCACAGGTGTGCGTGGGTGGCCTTCAAGGGCCGT